ATCTATCTATCTATCTATCTATCTATCTATCTATCTATCTATCTATCTACCTACCTACCTACCTACCTACCTACCTACCTACCTACCTACCTATCTATCTCTCTAAAATCATAAGTTATGCCCTGGTTTCGTTTCTCTAGAGAACCCTGCCTAACACACCATAAGGAGTCCCTGGTAGGAGTCTTATGACTGAGAGGTTAGGCCTGAACCCCACAATCCACTGGGGACCCTCTTCACTGGGTCTTGGTTCCCATTATGCTGGCCCTTTAAGAATGGTAGGTGGAACTAGGTAGCTGGAATCTGGCTTAGGCAGTTGGTCTCCAGGGAACTGAGAGACAACAAAAGCATCAGTGGCTACCCAGGTAGAGTGGTGCTGCCCTTGGATTTCCCACTCCCTTCTTCTGGCTGCTCCACTCTCCTACCTCTCCCCTTTTCCTGAATTTTCCTTCACTCCATCTGCCCATTCTCAACAGCCTTTGCCCCATCACTGCCTCTCTCTGCCCTCTTCCTCTTCACTTCCATTTCCTCTGCTCCAGATGGCCCTTCATTTCTGGAAACAATTCTTGCTGATAAGAGCAGTCAATTATCTTGAACATTTAGGTTAAACAAAAATACATTCTGCAAACAATGACAATTAGAGCGCACCTTTTTTGGTTTTTATTTATTCTGCTGACTCGCTATTACTTATAGACAAATGTTAAATAGTAGAAGTGCTAATGGGTATCTTTGCCCTGTTCTGGATTTAACCTGGCTCTTCTCATGCTTCGAGCCCTGATGACTTTTAGTGGGTTATGTATGAGTTGTGGCTGCACAGTCAGACAATCAATCCCACAGGGGCAATTCTACTCTGCCCTATAGCGTTGACCGCATCGCAGTAAGTTTGTTTTTTTAGTGCTTCTTTATGAAACACAGTGTGGTGTTTTGATTGCTTAATTTTGACTCTTAGCTGAATTCGTGTAGAACTGAGCAAGTGGTTGCCAGTTATTTTATTTTCAATGCTTAAAGTTTCTTTGCTCTAGTTGTGAGTTTGGCAAAAAGAAAATAAAAACAAAACATCTACCATAGGTACTTGTGTACAAGCTGAGCTTTTCAGCACATTTTTAATGCAGTTTTTGTGGTAAAATTAGGTGCCTTGGCTAATATTTGGGTTGGCTTATACTCGACTATATATGGTAGTTATGTTTTTAAATGAATTTTAAGGTTTGTAAAACAGTGAAATTTCAACCCATTTCATGGTTTCATTACAACAGTTTTGCTTGATGTTAATTAACTCTTACCACTACGTTTGTGGGTAATTTTTGGCCATTTCCCCCTTATATTTCTTTATTAACCAACCTCCCCAGCTTCAACTCCTTATTGGCTTGGCCTGGACTGCATGCCCTCTTTCCTCCCCCCACACTTGGAATGTGCTCTAGGGTTCTTGTTCTGAGATACTGTGATCAACCCCCACCACCCCCACCAAGCAAAATGGCATTTTTATGTTATAGAGCTCTCTTTTCAAAATGTCTTTGTGTCTGTCATTTTTCACATGGCTGTGTCCATCTCCATCCATCGAATGTCTAAATACGTGGCTCATCACCAGGTCTTTGCTCTTTGGACATCCCAGGTCGGGCCACTTATTTTCAGCCCTTTTTTGGCTGCGTGGATGCAGGTCGGAGAATGAGGGCGGATGCTTCCCTCAGAAACATTGAATACGTTGAATAACTAACTCGCAAACTTACCAGAGAAGAAGTTGTTGGCTGCTTGCTCCTCACTGACCAAAGGCAGCAGAAAGGGGTGTGGTTTTAAAAGAAACAGGGGAGTGAGAAAGAAAGGAGAAAGGGCCATCTAGGGAAGAGCAAATTTCATATTCTGGAACTAAGGGGGTTTTCTAAATAAGGAGGCGGTCAAAGAGGCTAGTCCGGGCCATCTATTCTGTAATAGATTGAGTAGGCCATTAGAGGAAACCATTTCTGTTTTCTGTGGAGTTGCCCCAAGCCCCGAGAGGCAAGCTGTGCGGTGTAGATGACAAGCTGTCCCTGACAGTGTCACCAGCCTCCTGGAGTGTCACAAGCCAGGGCCTTGCCTCCTTCAGCAGAATTCCCTATGACCCGCCACTCTGGAAGACTTTCACCCTGGAGAACTTCTTCCCGTTGCCATCTCAGCTCATAGAATTTGGGGGCCATCACATTTCCCCTCTAAAATTCGACAGTCCATTTTCTCCTGGCACACGAGGTGCTAAGCAAAATCTTTAAACTGCTTGTCCTTTTTTTGGGCCCCTAGAGAAAATAATTTCACAGTGATCTTCATCAGTGTTGGTGGCTTTTACTTATTCGTATTTTTCTGGCAGAGTAAGCTCCTTTAATGGGCAAATTCTCTTTGTCTTGTGTCAAGAAAATATGATGGTATTTTATTTTTATTCCAATGCTTTTGTTTTCTTCCTCAAGTATATTAATTATCCCTCATCAGCTCAAGCCTCCAACATATATATATATATATATATATATATTTCCAGTTTAATGTGTCCTTTATCATTTTTTTTTCCAAAATTTTTATTTTATTTTATTTTTCATTTATATATATATAAATATTTTTGACTTTCATATTTTTAACCGCTATAAGTTCTTTGGCTTTTGCTCTGAGCTCTATATAGTTTTATATAGAGTGTCCGATGTGTGAGAGGGATTATTCACAAAAAAACCTTACTGTTATTTAGAGTTCAAGATTTTTGTTTCTAAAAATAAATCTAATCTGGTTTTCATTAAACTTATTTTACATTTATGAATATTATTTTATTTATTTACTTAACACTTTATATAGAAGAACAGCTATAATAAATGCACATTGATAGAACAAAGTTACCTTAAACATTTGTTTCCATTTTTAACTGCATTTATAAATTTGATGTATTTGACTTTTTTTTTTTTCTTGGATTGAAATTTTTATTGAGATAACTGTAGGTTCATATACATTTGTAGGAAATAATGGAGAAACCCTATGTGGCTTTTACTCAATTTTCTTCCCCCCATCAAAAAAAAATTCCTTTTAGATTTCCTCTTTGATCAATAGAACTTAGAAAATATTATTTAGAAATATGTTAGTTAGCATATTACCAAGTCTTAGGAGGTTTTATTGTTCCCTTTCTGCTATTGGTTTCTAGTTTTATTTCGTTGTAGTTGGAAAGCATAGGCTATGGATCTTATTTGTTTTAATCTGCCAGGCCTTCTTCTGTGGCCTAGGATGTGGACTGTCATGGTGTGTTCTCTGGGAACTTGTAGGGAGCGGGTCATCTGCTGTGGTTGGGCCGGGGGTTCTATACATGTTGATCAGATCCTGTTGGTTGATGGAATTGGAGTTCTTTTGTATCTTTGTGAGTTTCTGTCTAATCCCTTCCATTGCTGAGAAAGGGGTGTTAGAGTTGCCAACTGTCCTTGTGGATTCGTTGATTTCTCTGTTCAGTGCTGAGTTTTGCTTCATGTATTTTACAGCTTCGCTGTTTGGTGCATGCGTAGTTAGAGCCGCTCTGTCCTCACAGTGGGCTGGCCCTTTAGTATTATTTCGAAATATTTCAACTGTTTTGTTGACATATGATTCACATATCATACAATAGTTTGAGCATATGGAAAGAGTTGGGCAATCATCACGACCATCCATTGTAGACCATTTGCTTTTTCTCTTGTACTTACTCTGAGCTCCCCCTTCCCCACAGCCCCAAGAAACTATTAATCCAGTGGCTGTCTCTACAGACTTACCTACTCTGGATTTCATATGCAGAAAAACTTACCACAGCAAAAGCAAAAAAACAAAAACCCAATAACAAAAACACAGAAAAACCTCAGTCAAAAAATATATTCCTAACTTAACTGAGGAGTTACCAACTGGTTCCGACCCTCTATTATTGAAGAAAGTCTGTCTCAGTTAATTTCTTTTGCTCTTTCTTTATCCTAAGACTTTATCTTTTATCTACTTTATCCTAAGACTACAATTAGCCAATCACTTTTCTTTGATCAGTGTTTGTATGACATATATATATATAAATTTCATTCTTTTACTTTCAATCGGCCCATATTGTTAATGTTTGAAGTGAATTTCCTATAAATAGCACATAGTTCAATCATGGACTTTCAACCTCTTGTGTTTTAATTGATGTCATTAGACCATTTATGCTTAATATCATTTTAGCTATGTTAGGGCATATCTAAGGGGCAGTAGTTAAGTATGCAGCTGGTAACCATAAAGGTTGATGGTATGAACCCATCAATCACTTATTGAGAGAAAAATGTGAAATTCTGCTGCTTAATTTTTAAAATTTATGCCCTCTGTGATTTCTTTCTCTTTTCTTTTCCTGCATGTTGTGGTTTACTTGGACATTTAAAACCTTTCTTTTCAATTTATATATAGTGTTTTTCTGAGCATAGCTTTTTTTCAGTGGTGAGTCTGGGCATCATGTAACTTATCACAAACTACTGGTGTATTGATATGTATGAATGACAGAACTTTTATATTCCTCTTTCGTGTCCCATCTATGTTGCAATTACCTTAAATATTTCTTCTACGTACATTTTGAACCATACCAGACTGCTGTACTTTTTTGTTTCAATAGCCAAGCGTAATCTAGAAGACCCAAAGAAAGATGGGAAATCGACTGGATTGACCCAGATTTTCCTACCGTATCCTTCTTCCTTCCAGATAGTCTAAGGTGCTTTCTTTTATTGTTTCTCCTCCATTTCCTTTAGCTGCTCTTGTAGACTAAGAGAAATGGTGACCGGTTCTTTTTGTTTTCCTTCATCCACGAATGCATTTATTTCCATTCAATTGTGAAGGTCATTTTCACCAGATATCTAATTCTGCTTGACGGTTCCTATTCTCAACACTCAAAAAAAAAAAGTTGGCCTCATGGTCTCAGGTGAGAATTCTAGCAGTAAGATATTCTTTCTCTTTGTTTTTCTGGGGTTTTTATTTCCCTTTACTTTTCAGAAGTGTGCTTATGATGAGCCCAGCTTCCGGAGCTGGATCTAGGTGGAGAGGTGAGAGCCTGTCGTCTCTTCAGGGGTTCTCCTCAGGACCGCGCCCTGAAAAGACTCATCACTGGGCTCCTCAGTCTCTTTGCTCTTGGCTTTGCCTCTATTTGGTTGTTATTGGGTTTCCTTAATGACCCTATGTGACAGAATAGAACTGCCCCTTAGGGTTTCCTAGGCGGTAATCTTTATGGAGGTAGAGGGTCAGGCCTTTTCTCCTGCTGAGCCACAGGTGGGTTTGAACTGCCCACCTTTTGGCTAAGCAGACCCATTGCCCCACTAGGGCTCCTTGGCTTTATTTTTGGTCCTGTTAATTTTTCTGGTGGGTATCTGGGAACGTTTTGTTTGTTTGTTTACTGTGGTATAGCACCACCATCGTTTGTTCTGGGGGAAAACGTCAGAGGGCCAAATACACCTGATTTCTCTTAACTTCTCCCTTCCTAGGTCTCTTCTCTCAGTTAGGCCCTCTCACCCTGCTGAGACCTTACTGTAGGCTCTCTCAGAGATTCACTTGGTACCAAAACATGTCTCTTAGGGGCTTTTAGTTCAGGGTCCCGCTTTACTGGGGGTTTTTGGCTCCACGATGACCAGGAGCTTACAGTTAAATTTTTCAGGGAACAGAGGAGTCAGAATCCAATCGATGGCAGTAGGGTTTTCTCCTAGACTGTAATACCGATTCCAAGGGCTAGCTGATAGTAAGGATTTCAAGCTCTGCTAAAGGGAGGTGCTAGGGTGATTTCTGAGTGGAGCGGGTGTAATTTGTTACCCTGAAAATCACTGTGCTGCTTACCCATAGTGTTCATGCACCTTGTCCGTGACCCCTGCCTATGCCGTTGACCTCTCTTTCAGGATCTATCAGGAAGAGAAGGGAGGACAGAAATAGACAAAAGTGCTTCTTACTCTTATGGCACCAGGGAGGAAAACCGGATGGCCCTGTTTCCCGGAAAATAAGACAGTGTCTTATATTAATTTTTGCTCCCAAAGATGCGCTAGGCCTTATTTTCAGGGGATGTCTTATTTTTCCGTGAAGAAGAATACGGTACACATTTATTGTTTATTGTTTTATTAAAAGAGACCTCGCACTTCCTGTCTGCTCCGGCTGCGCTGCGGCCAACAGTGAGCTGTGCAGCGGTGCCCGGTGCTACGGTCCAGAGTCCAGAATTATGGTAGCTTTGGGGGGCCTTATTTTCGAGGAGGTCTTATTTTTTTGGGGATGCCTTATATTTCAGTGAGAGGCAAAACTGTAAGTAGGTCTTATTTTAAGGGATGCCTTACTTTCGGGGAAACGGTAGCATATAGTTGCTACTTAAAAGCATTTGTTGAATTTACTGTAATCGATCTTAGGACAGGATCGGCTGTCATGGGGTCAGATCCGGGTGTGTGTGGGGGGTGGTGGTGGTGGAGTATAGAGCAGGTCCAAGCCCCTCAGAGTTACAATCCACGATTTCCCAGCTTTGTGACTTTTGGGAAGTCATGTCATCTTCCCACATCGCCATTTTCTCATGAATAAAATACGTTGTCATATTGCAGGGCGTAAGTAACAGGTGGCATTGCCCAATAGCAGATAACCAGAACATTCCCTAGGCGCCCCAGCGCTCAGTGGGTCACACGTCGGGAACCACCAGGCTTTCTCCTCTGTCAAGAGTTAGGGTCTCAGACACCCACGGGGCGCGGCTCGACCCTGCCCTCTGGGGTCCCCGACGGCAGAGTTGGGAGAACATCCCCTCGCCAGTGGCAGAGGCGCCCCTGCCATGCCTCCCCCGGGCCGCGTCGGGGCGCTGCGGCACCACGGGCCGGGC